GCATGAATTCGTGTGTAATTCGTGTTTTTTATGTTGTTCGAGATGATTTGATGATTGGAATAAGTTTGTATGATGTTGTGGGATATGTTGGTATGTTTGGTTGAGGTCCCGAGGGCTTCGGGGAGATTCTGGATGGTTAGCGAAAGGTTTGGAGTTTATCAAATGCAGCTGAAGCTGTTGGTTCTGGTGTTTCCGCACCTGCGGTGGGGAGTCCGCAGGTGCAATCCCGCAGAAGTGACTGAGGAGCCGCAGATGAAGCCAAGAAGGAGTTTGGCATAGTCCGCAGGTGCGAAGAGATTCCCGTACCTGCGAGAGTCGCAGATGCGGGCAGAAATGCGCAGAGGCGAGATGGAGCCGCACGTGCGAGGTTGTTTCCGTACCCGCGATGATTGCAGATGCGGCCTTTAAGTGATTTAAGTGTTTTTCCGTAGAGGACTTCGGGAATTCTTCTCATTTTCACATTTTTGAACTCGGGTTTTAGAGATTTTGAAGGGGAATTCGAGGTTTATCACTGAGGTAAGTTTCTTGAGCTTAACTATCCTTAGTAATGATATTTTCCCGTTGATTTTTCCCTTAATTAGTGAGGTTTTGAAGTGAAAATTGGGGGTTAGGGCTTGGGAATTTGGAGAGTGAACTTTGGGGTTTTAATTGACCAAATGAGGTCGTATTTTGGTAATTTTGGTATGGTTTGACTCGTGAGTGAATGGGATTTTTGGTTTTGTAACTTTTGTCGAATTTCGAAACGTGGGCCCAGGGGTCGGGTTTGAGCCGATTTTGGATTTTGGCTATGAATTAGTGTTTTTCTTATGAAATTGATTCCTTTAGTCTATATTCATCGTATTGTATTACTTTTGGCTAGATTCAAGGTGTTCGGAGGCCGAGTTGAGAGGCAAGGGCATTGCGAAGCAGAATTTTGCTCGGTTTAAGGTAACGCTTTCAAAGTTGGTTCTGAGGGTTCAAAACCCCGAACTACGTGTTATGTGGTTAGTATTGAGGTGACGCACATGCCAAGTGACGGGTGTGCGGGCGTGCACCGTGAGAATCATGACCCGGTTCATTCCATGGCACCGTTTAATGACTCTTTCTTGTTGATATCTGTGTTTCTATTATGTGATAAAGTAATTGAGCTGTAAACATGCTAGATATCATGTTAAGGCTTCACGTCGATACTGTTGCTATAATCTAACTGATTTCACTGTTGTTTTATACTCAGTAATATTCATGCATTTCATATCATATCTCAGTCTCAGTTGTTATTATTGGCATTGCATATCATTATTTCCGGGCTAGTTTTCATTACGCTGTGAGCCCGTGGGTAAGACTGGAGAGTGATCATTGAGTGAGGCCGAGAGCCTGATTATGAGTGACAGTTATGGGATCGGGCTACACGCCGCAGTGGTTATATTGATTTGTGATAGCGCTTGGGCTGTAGGAGCCCCTTCGGAGTTTGTAACACACCCCGAATGAGCGCGGATGATATTATTGAGGGATGAATTTCTCTGGACATGGATTTGTTCGAAGTATTGATATCTGGAGATGGATTTCTCCACAAGGTTGGATTACCCTTTTTCTCGGTACCGGGTGACTTATAGTCAATGACGAGTATGTTCCGGGATGGAATTTCATGGGCCGGATAGCCATATACTGTACCAAGTGGTTGAGTATTTATATATGCCTGGAGATGGATTTCTCCACAGGGTTGGATTGCCCTTTTTCCTCAGTACTGAGTGACTTACAGTCAGTGTTGTATATGTTCTGCGATGGATTTCCCTAGGCCGGATGGCCATATTCAGTACCGAGTGGTTGAGCACTTGAGAGTGGGAGTACATTGTACATTTCATATAGTCGGTGCATTGGTATGTAGAGGTAGTAGAGTTATATATTTTAACTATTTAGATCTGTAATTACCTTATTGTTTTGAGTTGTCTATTTAACTAAAAGCATGCCTACATTTATGTACGTTGTCTCTATTATATCTGTTGAGGTTGAGTTCGTCACTACCTTTCAGTCCATAGTTTTGACTCGTTATTTACTGAGTTGGTGTACTCGCGTTACTCCTTGCACCTTGTGTGTAGATCTAGGCACTTTTGGTCCCAGTGGCAGTCGTTGATCGAGGCTTCAGACTTAGGAGACTATCGAGGTATCTGCGCGGCGTTCACAGGCCTTAACTCTCCCTCTTTATCTCTAGATGTATTTCAGGTTATTTTCTTTAAACATTGTAATAGACTATGTTCTCCTCTAGACAATCATGAACTCAGTGACACCCGGTTTTGGGCAGTTGTATCGAAATTTGGATTTTATTTTGTTTTCAAAAATGTTCCTTAATGAATTGTTGCTTCCGTGTTTATTGTCTAAAAAGAATACTATTGCGGCATTGGATTATTGAGTTGAGGCTGGCCTAGTTCCACGATAGGCACATAAAGATTGTTCTGTGTAAATGTAATTGGTACAAATATCTGTGACTAATGCAGTATCTTCTTTTAATAGTAGAAAGTATATTATTCGTAGTCAATACCTAGCTTAGGTTAATTTATTTTATTGAAGTCTTTTGAGAATTTATCATCTTGATTTAGTTGTTAGCTGTTGTTGTTCAGTTGGCCGGATTAGTAGACGATCATCTATCTCAATAGAAAAATTAAATTGAGGGTAATGGAGTAACTCTTCATATTTGTATACTAAACTACAAAGGAATCTTATATATTACTCCATCTGAGGCTTTTACTTTCTATATATCTAGTAAACCTTTCAACATTTCGTTTTGTAATTATCAGATATAAAGCAACAGAATCCAAAACGCACTAATATAGTGTACGTCTAGTATAATCGCACTTTTTTGTGTTTCATTTATCTTCAAACTAACAATACTACTAATTATTAGTATCTTTACACCAATTTTTGGAATATTGTTTTTTGTTGTCTCTATTTATAACTTTGATTTAAGGGTGTCTAAGACAAATCAAATTATCAGATCGAACAGAAAAATTGAATCACGCTAAAAATGATACTCCCTTTCTTTAATTTTGTTTGTTATAGTTTGACGTAGCGCAAATTTTAATAAAATAAGAAAGACTTTCGAAACTTATGGATCTTAAATATTTCACAATATTTATGTGTCTATAAAACTTTTGAAACTTGTGATATTAAATATGTCATAATATTTTTGTAGCTATAAAAACTTCTTATTAAAAAGTATAAGAAAATGTTTTTTTTTTAACGGACTAATAAGAGAATAGTGGCAAAGCAGGTTCGAAGGGGGAATCAAAGTGATCTTGATCACTTGGGGAATATTCTTAGCTACGCCTTGTTGATTACCTACGAGGACTCTAATCCACGTTATGTAGGAGCTCAATAATGGATTTAACTACAACATGGTGCTAGTATGTGCGTGCAACTTTTACAGAGTTTAGAATAAGATATTGGCACACGTTTATTTGTAACTCGTAAGCAAATATCTTCTAGCTAGAAAAATCGTTTTGCACTTCAGTGCGCTCTTTTTTATTGACAAACTACCTCTTTCATTTAGAACCACTAGATTTACGTACGCGCAAAATTACGTAAATATTATTAAAGAATGTGTTAGGAGTTATTGAACATATATATCAAAGAAAAAAAATATATAAGTTCATAAAAATGGTGAATATTAACATAGTCTATTCAATAGAGCCATGTCTGTTAATAACTGAATATAAAATGCAGTTGTATATTAAATCAAAATATATATTTTGTCTATACCATGTTTGTGTCTTCTCAAATGAATTTGAAATAACTTTTGAAAAAAAAAATAAGAATTTTTTTAAACCTTCAAGGGTTATATGTTTTTACTGAAACTAAAAAGAATATACGATAACTTGTGAAAATTAAACCGATAAAATTATAAATTGGAATATAATTTAAGATGAATATATTGAATAATGATTGAGGACTTTCATGAACAAACTTTTTTCTTCGGAAAAGGGCCTGAATTGTCCCTAAACTAGCAGATTTTGGTCTAAAATTGTCATCCATCCACCTATTAAGCTAAATATGGCCTTCCCGTTAATGTTGTAAAAATAGCACGATATAGTCAGTTTTCGGACTGGTCATTCAAAAATAGTCAGCGTTTAGCAAGTCAATGAAAAATAGCCACTATTTTGCTGCAACAGAGACCGGTCCAGCATAATATACTGGAGTTCGGTGCACCTGTGTATGAACTCCAGCATATTATGCTAGACCGGTGTACTTTGCTGGCTCCAGTATAATATACTGGAGACTGGAGCACCGGTGCTCCAAACTCCAGTATATTATACTGGACCGGTATACTTGCTGGAACTCCAGTATATTATGCTGGAGTTCTAGTGTACTCATGTTGGAACTTCATCATATTATACTGGAGTTCCAGCATACTTATCCTGAAACTCCAGTAAGTATACTTATGCTGGAACTCCAGCATAATATACTGGCGTATTTTCCGAGTTTTGAACAGTGTTTTTGCTCAAATTTATCTTCACATGAAAAGTGGCTAAATTTCGATTATTTTTGAAACTGGGATATTTTTGAACGACCAGTTGTAAATCTGGCTATTTTTGAATTTCTCCCTATATAGATAGATTGATTGTCCTTTTCTCCTCGTACCTTAACGATTTTCCAACATTTGACCAGCCCAAATTCATAAAGAATACTATATATATAGTCTCCTTCATGTCATATCACAAACCAAACATGTAGCCCAAAATGAACCTGTTTGATTTGAAGAAATTCAACAGTATTTCCTTTAAAAGTACGCATAACCATTAAAACATTTCAGATTACCAAATAATTGCACAATTGTAAACTGGACCCTAAAGTTGTAAATGTAAAAATTCATATTTTTACGTAAACACGCTATAACAACAACGGCTTAGTATAATCCCACAAGTGGGTCTGGGGAGGGTAATATGTACGCAGACCTTACCCCTAATATTCACACTATTCATATTTTACCCAACACTATCTGCTACAACATATGATTCAGGTTAACGGGATTAGCAATAAAGGTCATATGAGGCTTTAGAAGAAGACAATAAGATGACTTGCCTGATACATTGATAATTGGTTGGTGTACACATATATACATATATACAACTCTATAGATGGGTTATGCGGTTCATATAGATAGGTAGCAGTCATGTCAGAGCAGACCATCACTGATGTCGTTAGTGAAAACTGATATGGAACAATATCTGATCCATAAGAGTCACATCCGCAACCCGAAATAATAATAGTGCCAATTGACTCTCTCTGCTTCATAAATGGTGGGAAAACTTGTCCACCAACAGTCAGACTGAAGTTAACTTCAGAAACATAATCTTCTTGAACCCGCCTGGCTAAATAAGAAACAAGTGAAAAGTTATTGTTCTCCACAATGTCACAACCCTTTAATCAAAATGCAGGGCCATCTTTACTTCTTTTCTTGTGAACTAAACATGACATGAAACTCAAAAGAAGAAAAGGTCTTCAAAAGGATCACGTATTAAAACCTTATGGAGGCAGCTACTCCCACTTGCCTGCTAGTTTCACGACTAGAGACACTAAGAGAGGAAGAGGAGTGGTTCATTAAAACAGGCAGGAGGAAAACTTATCTACTCCTTTTTCAAAAATAATAAAACAGGAACTTTCTAGTTTTTGTGGGGAAAGAAAAACAAAGACAAGCTATAACGGAATATACCAGAGTTGTGTATGGGCATGATTGTCGCTGAAAAGACTTTCAGAAACGTCTAGATTTCTGTTGCGGAGGGTATCCAGGCATCCCCATTCCTGGATCTTTCCTTCTCATCTGCTTGACATACAAAAGCATCAATAAATTTAGGGATGGGAACTACCGAAAGCATAATAGTACCGGACTGACTAGAGCAACCTGCTGCTGATGTGCCTGAGACGCAACACCACGCTGCATGGGCATGTTTCCCGGGTTCATTCCAGCACCCATGCCAGCTTGAGAAGCAAGATTGTAAGCAGACATGCCCTGAGGCATCCTTTGCATGTTGACCATTGGCATCTGTCGGGGCACAGATCTATTCGGCATTACATGGGGACCTTGCATGCCACCAGATGCTGCATTTCCTGATGATACCTGCTCCAACAAATAGTAATATGAGCAAGATGCAACTGACCAATATGGCCTCATCCTAGTCCTTTAGTATGAAAATTTGGCATAGTTTCAATTGATTAGCTTTCTCTAGTTACTCCTATACAAGCAGTCCTCTTTATTGAAATATCATATATAGGAAATTAGAACTATATCAGTAGTAAATAAACACCAAAGAAATAAACCAGCATGCATGGAGATATGAACCTAGTCGATGTAGAGATTTTTATACTTACTGGCTGAGGAGGTTGAAGACTAATTGTTCCTTCAAAGTCTGTAGTCGTGTCCACAGGTCGAGTTGGATAGTTCACAATTTTTTCTCCAGGCTGTGGTGGAACAAGTGCACTGTCACAATTAAGCAGTTTTAAGGGTTAGTGGAAGTTACTAGATTAATAAAGGTAGTCTCCCCAGAATGAAGGAAAGATAAAGCATCTATAAGTGCTACAGCTCCACAGTATGTCTAAATGGATATAAAAAGGTAAAACTTGTAACTCTCAAATTTCATTATAAGTATTTGGGTGTCCTAGCGTGGTTTAATCATACCAGCTTAGTGAAACTTTTGTAAATCAATTGTTTGACAAAGTGACTATGAAAAGCAAGCACTTACTTGCGGCCAGGTAGAGGTTCCATCCGAAAGTACCTATAAACCAGAAAAAATAAAAAGCTTTAAAAATAATACATGGCAAGCATCCACCCAATATCATAAGAATTCAGAAGAAACCCGAGGCCTTCACTTCCCTACTTTAGGTGTCAACTTGACATTCAACATTTTTTATGAACTAACCTTGATCATATAGGTAATAGAAAAACGAATGCAAAATAATTGGGTTCCTCTATTTCATGTGAAGAAATTTCCAAAACCATTATAAGTGTTTCGGTATAAAAAGGAATAACCCCACATAACTTCACTAGACCAAACACTGTATCAACTTTACCACTTCAAGGAAAAAGGCTATTGGTAAGAAGCCTCGCCTGGCTGGAAGATCAGCTGAAAAACGTCTATAACATGGTAAAAGAAATTGAATAGGTACAGTACGGGGACCAAATACACTCAATAATTGTTTAGTAAAGGTAAGCTCAGTGCTTAAGTGATGGAAATACGAAATAGGAGGACATCGAAATGGTCAGCACTGTTATTTTGGACGGGACAACAAAGTAAAAGTAGTTAACTTTGTTAAATAATTTTGATCAGGGACATATTTAATCAATTAGTGAATACTTAAGAACCATTTTACAAAATTTATTTTGCGATGAAATATGTCTTCATATTTGAAACCATTTGCATGCAATCGTCTGCAGAGAGAGAGAGAGAAAGAGAGAGAGAGAGAGATGGAGAGTCCATACTCATGCTCGAGAGCTTGCGCTGCTGTTATTCTTTTGCGAGGATCATATCTGCAAATTAGATGACGTCAAAATATAATATTGATCTCAATCAATAGAAGCTTCTGGAATATAAGTAACATGTCAATAACAATTGCAAAAGTAACATTGGGGCATATCAAATGCTTGCATTATAATCTAGTAAGGAACTTTTTAAAAATAAAATTAAGGTACTTCTATTAAGTATAGCACCAAGAAAGTGCTCTATGACAGAAAGAACTGATAAATACAAGAGCTTCCTTATTTAGCTATGTTAGATATTGACAAACTCAATCATATGGCCTATATCATTTACAATAAGATTTTTACACCAAATATATAGTAAAAGGTATAGGCATATACATTTCACTGAGATAAAGAACCTACATTTCCGTCAAAACATCATCTGTTTCTTTTTAAAAAAGAACAAGTATAGTGAAGCTGAGGTGAGATTCGACGGAATTGGCGGTGCCTACATACAAACAATTCAAATTTTAGGCTCGTGGTTCCAGAAGAATGGTATGATGGGAAAAAATGGTCATACATAAAAGCAAAATAGGATGGTTGAAATGGAGAAGTGCTACCAATATGAAGGCAAGGTCTATAAAATGGTTGTAAGACAAGCAATATTATATGAGAGTGAATGTTGGGCCCTACGGTCCAACATATCCATATGATGAGTATTTCACAAAAGCAAATTTTACGATGGATATGCGGTCATAAAGGATGACAAGATTACAAATGCTCATATTCAGCTAAAAGTTCAAGTAGCACATATAGAAAAACTCCGAAAAGTTGGCTTGATGGTTTGTCATGTCCTCTGTCAATGTCCAAAAGCACTAGTACATAGGTATGAAACAATGGTGATTTAAGGTGCTACAAGGTGACGAAGAAGACCTAAAATCGCATGGAAGAAAGTTATTTGAAAGACCTACAATCTTTTAAAATCCATGCACACTTTGGTGAAATATGACAAGATAGAAGAAAAAGTATCCATTTAGGTAAAATAATAAAGGGCTATGATCAAAATTTAGTTCGCTAGGAGGTTTTTAGGTCTTATTAGAGATGTATTCTTTTTGATCAGATAAAGTGAAATTCCATTAAGAATCACATCCGGTAGACATTGAAATTACAAGCTGTAGAAAAAAAATTAGTTCCTGAAAGAATGATTCTGCTATAGACTTCCTAAGGAGCTTACAAAGTCAAAATACTGAACAACATTATTTAAAATGTGATGTTTGTTCCAGCAATGTTAGTAAGACATCTATATTTCAGGGTATGGATAGAAGAATAGCTCCCTTCAAAACATTATGCTATTTCTTTTCAATAACAAACACCAAAAAAAGTTGGAACATCCTGCCAAATCTTCCAGATAGGCCTCTTTACATGCCATTGCCCCTGACAAGATTGCTAACATTTTGTATGATTGGATAGGTAGATACAAATTAATGGTAAGATTTGAGTATGACTTTGTTGAATTGGTAAATAAGAACTAAAGAGGTTAAGGACAACTTTAATTGAATTATAACATTATAAATTATGATGATGTCCAAAGAACAAATCAAGCAAGCAACTGCTTCTTTAAATCTCCTTTCATTTTCTACTATTTTAACATGGTATCAGAGCCACTACGATCTTTTTACATACTCAGGTAGCCTTCTTTGATGACTATCCTGGCAACTTTTTCCGGTGATTATTTCAACACTTATTTCGACATCTAATATTCCGCGACTTTTCCACTAGCCACTATACTGGACCATTTCATGCGGCTGTGCGCGTTTTCCCACTCTATCTTTTCTATCAACATTCTTCGAACTCTTGGCTTACATTTATCCTAAGTCTTCAATATATCTTCTCTCTTTTATTTCTTTAAATTATTTTGAGCTGAAGTTGTGCAATTTCTTCTAAACTTTTCATTCTTCTCTATTCTTTCTAATTTATTCTCAAGCAAGAATTTTCTTGCTCCTCTTAAAAATGAATGAATCATATTGTCTCTCTCTCTCTTTTCTTCCTTTGTAAAAGTGCAAGCCGGTAGTAGTGACATTTCTCACTTTACTTCTTTGAGTGGAGCTATGATAATTCTCTGCAGTACAAAACAACTAGACAACAGTCGTCTTAATCCCCACTACTTGCACAAGTCAATCACGTAATCCATTTGCTTATGTCACATAGTTTTCACATGAAGACGCACGTAATCGCATTTCTGGTAATAAGAATTTTTTGTATACACGTAATTTCCCTCTGATCTCTTCCTTTGTCACATTAGTTAATGGATCAAAAATTATGATTAAAGGAATAAGTAAGGCTTATGCTCTTCCTTCATTACTTTTAATGTTAACTCATTTTACCCCAAAATATCCATATAATTTGATATCCATTAGTAAATTGACCAAGAACCTAAATTATTTTGTAACCTTCTTGGCTAACTCTATTTTTGTGCAGGACTGAAGAATAGGATAGACAATTGGAATAGAACATAAGCCACAATACTTATCACTTATCTAGCCCAAAAACACATGGTGCTTTTACTTAAACGGCTGCTTCTCATCTTCTTCATGATCACTCGAATCATCCAAGTATTTTCAAATTATATAAGATGGTGTTGAAACTTTCTAAGTAGCCGTTTGGACATATATTTGGTTGAAACTTGAAAAAAAGAATTTTTGAAGTTGTGTTGAAAACTAATTTTTGGAAGTTGAAGTTCTGTTTTGACATGCATTTTGCTTGAAAAAAAGCCAAAGCTTTGTGAGTGGAAGAAAAATTTTCAGGCCATTTTTGGAACTTGAAAATTTTTATAAATTTTTTTCAAAAACTTATCAAATTCCATGAACAATGTTTTCAAAATTCTTTTTGAAATTAAGTAAAAAAAAAATCTATGTTCAAACGAGAGCACTTGTCTTCCTTAGAATGTGAGTTATGTCAGCTACGTAAACATACACATGCCTCTTTCCCAAAGAGAGTCAAAACCGGGCAACTCTATGTTTGAAATTATTCACTCAAACATTTGGGGTCCCTTTCAGTACTTCATTGCTTTTACCGATGATCATTCTCGTTGCACTTGATTATTTCTAATGAAGAATAAATCTGAATTGTTTTGTATCTCCGAAATAAAATTATGCTGAAATCCATACTCAATTTGGTGTATCTATCAAGAAACTAGTCAGCGATAATGAAGGGAATATTTCTCAACGCCTTTCTCCACTTTTATGTCTTCTCTAAGGCATTCTTCATTTATGATCTTGTGTGCATACTCCTCAACAAGATGGAGTAGCTAAACGGAAGAATGTGCATTTAATTGAAACAGCTTGAAATCACTTATTGATGCTCATGTCCCTATTTGTTTTTCAGGGTGAATTGTCATAACTGCTTGCTATTTAATTAGTCGTATGCCTTCAGTTGTTATGCAGCACAAGTAAAGTTGTTATGCAGCACAAGTAACTTTACTCCATCAAGAGAATCCCTTTTCTCTTCCTCCCTGTGTGTTTAGTTGAACAAGTTTTATTCAAGATCTAACTTCTGAAAAGCTAAACATCAACCCAAGTCTATCAAATGCATTTTATAGGAATAGTCTTATCTTCAAAAAGTTACCAACATATGATCCCGTTGCAAACATATTAAGTTCTTTGTATTAGCATATGTCACATTTTCCGAGTTATCCTCGTACTTCTCATCAAATTCACAAAATCAATAAGCTATGTCAGAATTCTTCTAATCGGACTCTTCTGTCTCTAGCTCACCCTAGTTCAGCTAAATTTTAGGTTTACTCTTGACGGTCTCAATCAAAACCATTTGCCTGCTAATTCAATTGAGTATTCTATTGATGATATAAGTACACAAAGTCCACCTAGTGACTCATTACCTACTCCAATTACATCCCCTCCTTCGGTAGGATACTTATATGATGAACTTGGTCTCCAATTGATCTTGGATAAGGTACTTGTACTACTCGCAATCATTATCAAGTTTTAAATTTCTTAAAGTATCACCAATTATCACCCTCATATCATGCCTTTGAACAAAATTTCTCCACTGTCAAAATACGCAAGATTGTAGCAAAGCAATAGCTCATCTGGGCTAGCTTCAGGCTATGATTGAGAAAATGACGAGAAAATAACTGCTCTTCACTATAATGGTACTTTGAAGATCATTCCTTTAAAACAGGATAGCAATTGAATGTCATTGGGTGTTTATTGTAAATGAAGGTGCTGATGGGGAAGGTTACTCGTCTAAATTCTAAAAGCTAGATTGGGTGATCAAGGGATATACTCAGACTTATGATTTTAACTATGCTGATACTTTTTTTTGCCATGATCGCTTTTGTCCACCTCTTTATCTCCATGACAACCATGTTTCATTTGCCACTTTATAAATTGGATTTCAAGAATGCTTTCCCTCGTGGAAAAATTTATCAAAGAGGTCTACATGAAGCAACCATTAGAGTTGTTGCTCGGGGGGAGTTCGCATTAATATGTCGCCTACACTGATCTCTTTATGGTCTCTGGCAATCACCAAGGGCATGGTTTTGTTGTTTTAGCTCTATTTCCGCGCTCCAACTTGAGGCGTATTATTAAAAATTAAGAAATTGTTTATATGGCAAGAGTTTATTCCTTGTAAATATGTAAAAGGTTTGGACTCCATGCAATTATGTAATTAGGAGAAGGAATACATTCTTTTCCTTTTGGGGTTACTTGTAAACAATACATAACCAATTAAACACCAACAGAATAATCAAGCAACTCCACATATCTTATTTATTCTTTCTTTACAACCCTTGACATGTTCACCGGTCACCATACCTAGTTCCTTATCCAAATATGCTCCACATAAATCTCGTATCTCTGAACAAGAGTCCAACCACACATACCATCGCTCCACCATCTTATGAAGTAATTCCAAGAATCCGTTTTGAAGTACCATCTAATAGTAACTTGAAAGCCTCACCCTTCCATCTTTCCCCACTTCTAGGACCCTATCAGCTTATGTCTTAAATAGAAACAAAGTAACAATTATGGTGTCTCCTAGAGCCGACACATTCATACCAATCCTAACTTTCTATGCGTTGGTTGGTCAGCAATGGAGTGGGCTGACCCTAATCATGTTAACCTCAGACTTGCTGACCTAAGCTGTTCTATCGAACCGACTGACACCAGGAAATACTGATTTAATCTTTTTCCCCCTCTAAGCCCCTTGTTTCCATTCAAAACATAAGTTCAATACCGGCAAGTCTATGCCAAAAGTCACCCTTGAGACTTAATGCATGCCATGCTGGATGTCTCTATATGTTACTTGATTGACATCTTGGTGTACTTTTCTGGAGATAAGGAAGAAGAGTTCTCTCTCTAAGAAACAAAAGTCAAAACACTAATTCAGCTAGACTCATTTTCACTTATATTGTTCACATTCTTGTCGTTGTGATTACTTTGTAACTGCATTGTGTCATTATGTGTACGCATGCCATCTCTGACAAGGATTAGAACCCAAGAAATTTAGTATGCATACCATCATCTGGAAGACGTATTGGAATCTCATATTGAAAGCATTACCAACTAAATGCTGCATTAACTAAGAAATGGGCACATACTCAAGCATCTTAGAAAGGAGGTCATATGCAGGACTTTTGGGCGTCAGGTGCAAAACACTATAAAGTGCAGGATTGTCACTGCAAGGGAAACAATAAAGCTTTTAGATGATAAATCCAATTGCAAGGCAAGGACGGCAAGACAATTCAATGCTAACAGAAATCCTTAATACTAAAAGCAGTATGAATGAACCTACTACTTATGTCCTTGAATACGCTGCACGTCAGATTGCCAATGTGGAAGGTTTACCAGTGTTGGCCACTTTTCTGGGGTGGGATGACCTGACAACCATATGACATAAGTGCAGTGCTCAAACAAGTAAAAGGAACAAAGAGAATATTCGAAAATTAATCCTCACCGAGAACCTTAAATATCTTGTCAAGTTGGTCAAGCTGCATTACGAGAATTATTCATTAGATGAAAAATAAATAGTTACACAGTAAAAAGATCAACAATACGCTATTGAACCCCCAAAAGGAAAAGCATAAATGAAATGTTGAGAGTACAAAAATATTAACCTGGAACGGATTTGGTGTTCCTTTCACTTCTTGCCCTTGAAATAGTGGCTTTAGAGTAAGAAGCTCAGCAAATATACAGCCAACAGCCCACATATCTACATAAACATATTTTTTCTTGGTTGAAAAGGAAGAAATGTTTACTTATTTAGAGTGACAATTATTGAAGCTCAAAAGACAAAGGGTCATACCAACTGCACTTGTGTAGTGTTTTGCCCCAAGGAGTAACTCTGGTGCACGATACCAGATGGTCACTACAACCTGTCATTACTCAACGTACAAAATTTCAAAGTTACTACAAAGCAGTGATATCCGACAAAGAAAGTCAAATGTGCATCTAAAGAGAAAGAAAAGAACAAGGAATCATCGTTTTGTATTTAACTTCCACTCTGCAGCTCAATCAGAAAATCAATTCTTATCAAAATCTAGGACTGGTAAGTATGTCAGGAACAAAAGAATTAACATGGCCAAAGTTGTGACAAACAGAAATAATGTGATGCTAGTCAGATGTATTTTTGTCATTCTCAAACTCATCAAATATTCTTAGCACGGCCCATGTTGTTTAGTAATCCATCTCATCATCTTCATTTACAAAACGTGGGTTCAACAGATCAGTCATATAGACTATGTTAAACTACATACAAAATTTCATATATATTACACACATAATATGTGTGGCAGTGTAGAAGAAATAGATGTCAGCTGAGGGATGAGGGATGAGGGCCTGTCTTTGTTTTTTGTGAGTTCATGCCCAGAAGAGGCCATTACTGTAGATAAATGGGTGTTGTTCGTGAGGAACCATAGTTTTCTTCAGTCCTTCACTCTGTCGTATAAGACTTAACAGGGTTTGCCCCCAACATCACTAAAGTATTACTTCATAAAAAGATCAATAAGTTATTACTTAATCAAAAATAATAAGAGAATGTATTTTCAACAATCACATCTTCCACCATCCATGGACCAGAAGTAAAATTATCGAGCATCAGATAGGTTAATAATAAGTCTATAATATACCAAGGGATGCTTTTGACAGTTTTAGTCTTGGTTCTCTCAAAGTTGAACGGCTTAAGCAATTTTTCATAATGGAACTTATCAGTTTCGTTTTGGGACCAACTTGTTTTGGTTTCAAAAAGTAGAGCAGGATTGTAGAACAAAATTTGGCTGTTGGTTTATAAAAGCCTAGAAAACCAAAAAAATAAGCCAAACCTATTTCTTTTTGTTTGCTCTCCAACTGCTGGGCTGTTTCTCAAGTTTCTTAAGTTATTCCTTGGCCCTTTTTTAGGGTGGTCAGAAAGGGGGAGGGTGGAATGAAATTCCATCTTTTTTTCGAATAAATTTTTTTGTTCAAAAGTATGTTTAGTAGTATCAAAAGTAGATTAGTTAGGTTTAATCATTTTCTAATATTAATGTATTAGGGATTTAGTGATAATTTTCAGATCAATATAAGCACTCGCCTTATATATATTGTGTGCGCAATCCAGCATCATCACATAAATTGGGACAGAGTAAGTAATTTTTCTTGTCTCTGCTTAGATTTGAACCATGGTCTCCCATGGTCCATTCCAGCCCAATTGACCGCCTAGATCACACCTTATGATGTCACTTGGTAAAGAATAGCTTAAGCTTTTTATATATAAGGTGTAACTACTTGACACTTGGGTAAGGGGAGGAATTACAAGCTAAACAAAAAGGAGAGATGGAGAAGCTATAGCTGCAATAAAAAGTGTGTCTCACCCCATTCTCAGCTAATGGTTTCAATGGAGCCTGATAAATTCTTGCAAGGCCAAAATCAGCGATTTTAATAACTCCATGTTCCTCTCCGTCACCCATCACCTGTAAGGAGAAGTAAAGGATACAAATATAGGAATGTTTATAAGAATGTTATTTACAAAAAAATGTAAAAGAAGAGACATAAGAACGGACAGAAAGGGCAGAATCATACCAAGATATTTGATGGCTTTAGGTCTCGGTGTATAATCCAATTACTAAAAAGGAAGTGCATTATTATTAAAGCCAAAAAGAATATAGATTTTAAAAAAAAAAAAAAAGGAGAGCTAATAAATATGGCTTGCCTGTGAAGATAATTGAGACCATTAAGCAGTTGCCATAAAAGGGACTTCACTGTGTACTGATTGATAGCCTGATTGACCTTGTCTCTATGATGTCTGATAATTTCCTATTAAGATGCCCAATATTGTTTCAGTAACACTAATTATATATCAGAAAATTAAATGTATAGGAGGCGAGACTCGACTAGACTCACATAAAGGTCATGCTCGGCATAGTCAAAAGCGAGGTAAAGGGACATATCAGCTTGGTTGATATGAACATTGACAAGCTTTACAACATTCTCATGTGTAATCTCCCGAAGCAACTGCATCAATCAAAGATTATCTCCATTGTTAAAACTAAATAAATACTTACATTTCACTGCTAGAAGAACTTAGTAATTAATAAAATTTTGACCATGATTTCACGAATGGCGGTGGGAGAAACGCCGTCGCCGTCCTTGGATTGCTTAAACTTCTTGATAGCAATAGATTTGGAGCGGTTAGCTTTGATCTTAGCCAAGAAAACCAAGCCGTAAGTTCCTTCCCCAATTTTTCCGATCAAATCGTAGTGTTGCAACCACTCTGGCCGATTGCTGCTATTGGAATTGCCGCCTCTACTGCTAGTATTGCCATCTCCCATGCCGATCTTTTTCAATATGTATCTCTTTGTTTGTTAATAGCTGAGATTATGAGCTTTCCTTCCCCAGACAGTCAAAAGGGAGGGTTTTGGTAATGTGTTATGTTGAGTTCTTTTTGGTAAGTATTTTCCTTCACTAATTTTGTCCTGGGCCAAGAGATACACAGCCCACACAAATTTTGTCCTAGCCCAATCTAGAGAGTAGTCTGGGCCAACAGATACCTAGCCCAATCTTGCTATATATTAGTTTGGGATCTTTCCATAAATAGCCGGTCGGAGTCAATTATATTTACGTGTTTTAGCTGGTATACATAAATTATACACTAACTATATACGATTATACACATAATATACTTAAATTATACATTTACAATCTATCTATCTATCTATCTATATCTATATCTATACTATTATAAAAGCACGAATAATTTTTGATAAATATTGAACGACTAAAATATTCCTGAAATATTGATTGACTTTTATACCCTAAATATTTGTATAATTTGAGAATCTAAGGTAAATCACATAATAATAGAATTCTTTTTAGATTTAAACTATACATACAACGAGCCTACAAAATTGTTTTGAGTCAAATTCTTTTAGGAGACTATTGTTTTGGACTACTCCTCACCACGTCATTATTGAGTACATTTAAATTTTAACCGATTGCAGCTAAAAGTTACAAGCACTTTCAATTCCTTTCTGTTTGTAGGAATCCTTTATTAAGTTTACTTTTATTATCTATCTATATTTATTATAAAAACACGAATGTTGAAAGCTAAATGTTGAACGACTAAAATATTTTTAAAATATTGATTGGCTTTTATGCCCTTAAGTATTTACATAGATCTTCACAAGAAAAGGACAAAACTGAAAATACATACAATAAGATGACGAGCTATAATAGAATAGGAAAATAACCTAGGAATTCTGATATATACGCGATCAACTAAATCTATCAAATTTGATTTGAGTATATGTAAGACTTCGTTCATGAGGAAACCTCTTTACGTTAAATATATTAGCTAAGAAAAGCAGCCACAAAAATTATCAAAGTATCAATATCTCAATCATGTTTGGATACTGATTTGTTTGTCCCAATAGGATACTAATATAAACGTTTCTTCAAATTTCTTTGCAAAGTACAGGTTTTTCATTCTAATAATGAGTTTTTTAATATATATTTATTCTTAGTAATGATTACTCACTCCGTTTCAATTTATGTGAAGATATTTGACTGGACACGGAGTTTAAGAAAAAATGAAGACATTTGGAATTTGTAGTCCTAAACAAGTCAAAAAGAGGCTCAGAGTATTTGTGTGGTTATAAAAGCTTCTCATTAAGGGTAGGACTGTAAGTTTAAATTAAGTTGTTTCCAAATCAAGAACAGGGTCATTCTTTTTGGAATGGATCAAAAAAGAAGTAGGTTCACATAATTTTGAAGTGCTGGCCAACGGGCTACTGACAGCATTTGAAAGGCCTTTTAAATAAAGAGTTGGGTTGGGTGCTAAACAATATAGCCCAATGTGAGCATGCTGAGCTGGATTACATTAGCCCATTTAGACAACTCTAATCTTTGGGGCTTCAGTTTTTCGTAACATATACAGTAACATTTTATGATTCCTTTATACAATTATATTATTTATTAGTTATCTAAGGTAGTGTACATCATATGTCCCCAACAATTAATAAAAACTCTAAGTACCCTAAAACAGAACTGTATGAAAGCAATACAAGAGAAAGAGCTTCTTATTGATATTCTTTTGTAGGTTGAGAACGATTGATAGAGCTTGAGATAAAATTTATTACTGAATGTAGGGAGAGGAAGTATTTATAGTATGGACTAGTGTAACTGTTCCCTAAGATCTCGCCTGCATGTTATGAATATTAATTATTTATTCTGTACGTTATGCAAAGTGGATTTGCAAATGTTCAGGAGTTAATGCCGAATTCTTATATAGTTAATTCGTGGATGGCGCTGTCTGATCCCAGTATGGGATAATCCGAGATGCATTTTCTCAATTGACTTTTGTATACGATCAAAATCAAATGCCCCGATTTTATAGGCTCAAGAGGTCGCATAGAGAATAGGTTTAATATAGACCGAGCTCGAGCTCGAGTTCGAAGGCAGAATACGAGGTTCGACGATCTAAGTGCTCGAAGAGCATCGGAGCCAAGTATGACCAACCCCGAGATGATGCCGTCATGGATTTATAACAGAAAGAGCAAGACTCCCGCCACGTCCCCAAGATCATGGCGTAAATTCCGGAATAGATTTGTATGAATTAGTACAAATTTGTATTAGGCGATTAGACAACTGTCCCACTGAGATTCCTTACTGTAAATAGAAATGTACCATATTTAGGGTTCCCCTATTATATAAATGAGACCTCAATCATTTGTAAACATCATCAATCATTGGCAAAGAATATACCCTCTTACTTTCTTGCTCACATTTCATCAGAATTGTCCTTTAACTTTATTGTTCTTGACCTACCTCAACTCGAGGTCACCTTAGTTCGAGGTCGAGACTGGCTTGCACACTGGTTTGATTTCACTTACTTCTTTCATTTATACGTTAGATTTCTTGGTCATCAATTAGTATTGAACTAAATCACATAATCATAAACAAGTTTAATTGTTACTCGTATTTTCGAGATAAACAGTTTGGTGCTCACCGTGGGGCTAAAAATAATAGTGGTTATTTTAGTACTGATTCTGATAACACGTGTTATTTTCACACTTGTTCTTGTCAAGAATTTTTATTCTCAGGATAAAACATGTCAAACTCACAAAACGCACCTGTACACGGCGATGATGGTCTTGGATTTCACGAGAAAAACAACAATGTAGTTGCTCCGGGAGCCTATGTACCACCGATTAACCCTAGGGAAGTGCCAAATATGGAACCAGTCGATGTTAGTTCACACATTGCTTTGAATGTGGATTTAGGCGCAGATCCCGGAGGAAGTGTAAGTAGGGAAGCCTGATCTGGTGGCGAGGGAACACAAGGTATAGGAGATGGGGGAGTTAGCCTCCAAGTAATATTTGAGATGTTACAAGAGTAACAGATTGCTATTGCTCAGCCTCAAAGTCAACATAAAACTCAAAGTGTGGTCGAACCAGAAGTCACTCGCCGAACTGAACCAGTGCCAGAGAAATCGAATGGTAATGGCTCGGGGACTGATCCTACAATTATGAAGATGCTTGAGGAGCTCACCAAAAGAATCGAGTCAGGGGAAAAAAAGATTGAGGATAATGACAAAAAAGTGGAGACGTACAACTCCCGTGTTGATCAAATACCGGGGGCACCCCTGGTCTTGAAAGGATTGGATGCCAAAAAATTCATGCAAAAGCCGTTTCCCCCGAGCGCGGCTCCAAATCCCATCCCCAAGAATTTTTGTATGCCCGATATATCTAAATATAATGGAACAAGCGATCATAATGAACACATTACCTCGTACACTTGCGGGATTAAAGGGAACGACTTAAATAATGATGAGATCGAATCAATATTGTTGAAATTTTTTTGGAAACTTTGTCAAAGGGAGCCATGATTTGGTATCACAACTTGCCACCGAATTTTATCGATTCATTTGCTATGTTAGCAAACGCCTTCGTGAAAGCACATGCCGGGGCCATAAAGGTTGCGATAAGGAAATCGGACGTTTTTAAGATAAGACAAAGGAATGCTGAGATGCTAAAGGAGTTCGTATCCCGATTTCAAATGAAGTGAATGGAATTATCACCGGCCTTAGATGATTGGGCAGTACAAGCTTTTATGCAGGGGTTGAATGAGCGGAGTTCTATCGCATCATGATAGTTGAAGCAAAATCTGGTCGAGTACCCAGCCGTGACTTGGGCAGATGTACATAATCATTATCAGTCGAAGATCAGGGTCGAGGATGACCAGTTAGGAGCCCCCTCAGGCTTAGTTCATCCAAATAGATTGGTGGTTAAAGCCCCGAGGGATACAGATAGGGAACCTAGATCGAATAGGTAACGGTATCAGTCACATGTCTCAGATAAAGAAACAACGGTTCGGGGTGCAATCCTCCTCGGAACGATCGGAGAAACGATCGAGGATAGAATTCTCGGGGACTTATGAGTAAGCATGATTTTGATAAACATACCGATCCCGCAAAATCACCTCGGTTGTCGAAGTATAATTTCAGTGTAGATACATCGGGGATCGTGTGAGCTATTGGAAGAATCAAAGTAATGGGGATCACATTGGTGGGAATATAGGCCGATACGTCTCCAGCCTGTGTTTCAATGACGGGTAAGGCGGTCAAGCTACCTGCGCCTGTCTGGTCCGATCGTTTAGCCGCTCTTTCTAAGAGACGGGAATGTAAATAGAAAACATCCCCTGGGAAAGCCTCACGACCTAGTGGTCGGTGTAACAATAATGACCACCAGGTGGCCTAGGCCTATACAAAATGATCCTTCTCAAAGGAATCCAAACTTGATGTATAAATATCATGGCACACATGGGCATAAGATCGAAGACGGCAGGCAACTGAGGGTAGAGGTAGCTCGATTGTTCAACGAGGGTCATCTTCGAGAGTTTCTTAGTGATCGGGGCTAAGAACCACTTCATGGAAAGAGATGCAAACAGAAAAAATGAGCAGGAAGAACCACAACATGTAATTTATATGATCGTTGGCGGTGTCGATGTTCCACAAGGGCCTAAATTCAAATGCACCAAAGTGTCGATCACCAGAGAAAAATGGACTCGGATTTATGTGCCCGACGACATCCTATCGTTCAATGACGAAGAAGTGGAAGGCATATCTCAGTCGCACAATGATGCCCTGGTAATTTCTATTTTGTAAAATAAAATTCAAGTTAAACATATTCTAGTGGATCCAGGTAGCTCAGCAAACATAATTATATCAAGGGTCATAGAGCAACTCGGCCTACAGGACCAAATCGTACATGTATTTTGAGATCTAAATGGCTTCAACATGGAGAGCGAAACAACGAAGGGGGAAATAATCCTGCTAGTGAACGTGGTCGGGACCATCCAAGATACAAAATTCCATGTCATCGAAGGCGACATGAGGTATAATGCGTTGCTCGGGAGG